CATCGATCTTCTAGTACTAGATACGGCATAGGCTATCTAACAGCATTGAGTTTGTTTTGATACGCAAAGTCGTGGACATGGAGCTCTGCGGGATGGGGCGGGGAACAAATATTTGACGTTAGTCCTATACACCAGTGGCGTAGTACATTAGATTGGTTCATTAGGAATTTTAATTACAATTTAGTATTAAATGCAAGAAGTCTTATCTTCGGAAATAATTGAGTCAAACTTAATTTTAAAGCAGTACATCTTGACATAATAAAGGCTGTGGTTAGCAAAATATATATTTTTTTGCAAATGATATGGGGTTATAGGAACTGTAGCAAAATCAGTTTTTGTAAAAATTGTAATTTTTTCATTTGACTTATACAATATAGTGTACAATTCTTGTTATGGGGGAAAATTACAGAATGACTAAATCTTCATTTGACTATTTTAGTATAGTTATTTACTGATGACTAATTTATCAACATCTAAGTTTACATAGTATACTCGTATATTATGTTAAAATATGTATCTCGCCCTACTTTTATTAATATGTTTTTCAAAAAGCATTTTTTGTAGCAGACGGTTTCTGAGACTGTTGTGAGTAACTTATTGGTTTTGAAATTTGATGGTAATATCATCAAATCAGCAGTTCTCAACAACTTTCTATTAAAAAAATCACGTATATTTATTTTACATGAGACCTTTCTATTAGTTACATGTTTTACACAATTGACAATATTGCCGTCTAAAATTAATGTACTCGTTTAACATTCTATTAATTACATGTTTTACACGGTTGACAATATGGCGGTCCAAAATGAATGTACACGTTTAACATATAACTTGTCGGAGTTATGAACCGTTTGTCAATCAGCAGACTGTCGCATTGTGAGAAACAGAAAAAGTGTGGATATAACTAGGTATTAGCGAATTCTACAAATGCTAGTACAAGTTGTAGGCCTCCGTTTCGGTCAGGTTTTCGTGTTTCAACCGATGTATTTCAAGGCAGGAGTTACGGTTTCTTCCTATTCACATATTCACGATTGGAGTCATATCCACACTTGTCGCTCTTAAAAGCCTCCATTTGGAAGGGTGATAATTCACACCTGTCAACCTTTTTTTTGTGCATCAATTGAGATCGCCTCAAAGACTACTAGTGCTCGATTGTTAGCAAAGCACACAGGAACCTTTGCATTTATGAAGACCCTTTATGCTTCAACATGTGACGTCCGATACTGCTCCTGTAATTGGTTTCACAATCACAGTAGTTACACTTGTGTGTTTAGACTGGGACAAAGGATTTTTATGGTTCAGTTGGGGCTGTTTGATACTTCTGTATTTAGTTCCGAAATAGCAATACTTAAATCTGTACATTTGGACGTAGGAGCATCTTTATGTTTCATTTGGTGTCGTTTGATAGCACTCTTATATTTAGTTTTGTAATTGCAGTCGTTACACTTGTACATTTGAACCTGTGAGGGATCTTTATGTTTAAGTTGGTGCTTTTCGAAATAACTCCTAACTATAGTTTCGTAATCGCAATCGTTACACCGTAACATTTGAACTTGCGAAGGATCTTTATGCTTCAGTTGGTGCCGTTTCATATGAAACTTGTATTTGGTTTCATAATCACAGTCGTTACACCTGTACATTTGAACCTGTAAGGGATTTTTATGTTTCTTTTGATGCAGTTTAATATTATTCTTGTATTTAGTTTCAAAATCGCAGTCATTACACCGGTACATTTGAACCTGTGAAGGATCTTTATGTTTCAGTTGATGCTGTTTGAAATGGTTGTTGTATCTAGTTTTGTAATCGCAGTTGTTACACCTGTACATTTGAACCTGCGAAGGATCTTTATGTTTCAGTTGATGCTTTTTGACACATCTCCTGTATTTAGTTTCGAAATCGCAGTCGTTACACCTGTACATTTGAACCTGCGAAGGATCTTTATGTTTCAGTTGATGCTGTTTCAAATGACTGTTGTATATAGTTTTGTAATCGCAGTGGTTACACCTGTACGTTTGAACCTGTNCCTGTATTTAGTTTCGAAATCGCAGTCGTTACACCTGTACATTTGAACCTGCGAAGGATCTTTATGTTTCAGTTGATGCTGTTTCAAATGACTGTTGTATATAGTTTTGTAATCGCAGTGGTTACACCTGTACGTTTGAACCTGTGAAGGGTCTTTATGTTTGAGTTGATGCTGTTTGAAATAACTGTTATGTCTGGTTTTGTAATCGCAGTCGTTACATTTGTACATTTGAACCTGAGAAGCATTTTTATGTGTAAGTTGGTGCCGTACGATATAATTCTTGTATTTAGTTTCGTAATTGCATTCATTACAGCTGTACATCTGAACCTCTGAGAGCTCTTTATGTTTCAATTGATGCTGTTTGATACCACTCCTGTATTTACTTTCATAATCGCACTCGTTACACCTATACATCTGTATCTGTGAAGGATCTTTATGCTTCAGTTGGTGCTGTTTGATATAACTCCTTTGTTTGGTTTCATAATCACAGTCGTCACACCTGTACACATGGACCTGTGAAGGATCTTTATGCCTCAACAGGTGCCTCTGGAGTAATTTCCTGTTTTCAGTTTCGTACTCGCACGATTCACATTTGTACACTTCCAAATCGTTCTCACGTCTCGCACTGTGTGCCGTAAAACGGATCTCGCATTTGTACAATACTTTGGGCTCCTGCTTGGTTTTCACTTCTGATCCATTCTCACCTTTACATCCATCCTCTTCTTCATTTTTACAGTCACTCTCCTCGAATGGTACAATATCGGAGGTCTGAAGTGGCGTGTCGCTGAAAAAATTGCATATACAGGGTTTTTTTGAAAATCAGGTATTAATTTTAAGGGTTTATAACAATAACTGAATCAACTATAGTACTGATAGTATAATGAATCGATTCAGATTTTTGATAATGTATTTAATTATCAGAAAAGGCATGCTATGTATAAAGTCACAATAAATCCATAAACAAAGCCAAATACAGATAATTTAAATACAATCTACAATAGCATTATAAATAAATTTATTAAATTTAAATCAAATAATAACACCCAGTATATCACCTTCTTTTTGTTTGTCAACGTTATTTAGTTTTTCTTTTCACTTTATCACGAATTTTAAAACACTAGTCACAAAAATTAAAGGATAAAAAGAAAACCCTAAATTATTAGGTGGTTTTCGAAGCAAAATGGCCGTAGAGCAATAAAAAAAAACAAATTCAAGCTTGAAGTTTTTAGTTTCAGGCTTGAAAGTCAAAAATTTTTATCTTTGGCCACCTTTGACGATTAACAAAATAATTTTGGGACAGCCCTTAACACAAGAAAAAAAATATATTAGAGAAAAAACCTGAAAAACCTATAACTGAAATTATAACATGTCTCCTCATCTTCCAAGTTTAATCAACTACTTATTTGTTATTATAATTACTATTACTTTTTTTCACAGCTGTCTCTGATTATACTGGTGCGATTGATTTGTCACTGTGTATAGTCAGGATCCAATACAACATAATATTTATTCTCTAATACAAGTCTGGGTCCCGGCTGACATAAGTGCAATTTACCTCTCATAACTTCTTGTGTAGATTAATTGCATCTAGTCGTACAACAGGGTTCCGAGATATAAAAAAAGATTATTCTTAAGGGCGGACTTCAGGGGGCTGCGACTCCGAAAGAGGGGGCCAGTTTGCAAAAAGAAAAAATACGGATCTCTAAAATTTGTCTTAAGAATCTAAGGCCAAATTTTGTCGCATGAATTTGGGGACACCCTGTATATGGATTTTCTGTATCCGCCGAGATACCAAGGAATATGGCCTCAGAAAAAGATTTCAGATTCCAAGCCATACCGATCGTTTTATAATGATCTTACATTTTTTCCCAATAATTTGTTAACCCAACTCTTAACGACTATTCGAAAATTTATATAATATCGTTTATAACCGACGCAATCTCATAATATGTTACAAGTAATTCATCATCAAAAAATGGTAACAGTCTTCGCTTACCTTCTTTCCTCATCTTCCGGTTTTATGTCAACACATTCAGCCTTAATGGACATTTCCATCTCGTCAAATTCCTTATCTAGGTTTTCAGTCTTAACGAATAAATCGAGTGGAGACGTATCCATCTGACTTCCTGTGGCAGAACCACCATAAATACTTTTTATTTTTTCTTCTACCTCTGAGCAATCTTCAAGGAAACTGTTGTGAGTACACAGAGAATCAAAACATGGCTTACAAACAACGGGATCTTTGACGATATTTATATTCTACAAAGCAGTTTTGTTACCTTACAAAATATGCAAGTATTTAATATTGTTCATACCATTTCAGGAACTAATTTCTCAATAGCTTCAAGTTCCAATTCGCATATGCACCTAAACTCACTTTCTACTGGGTGCATACACAATCGGCATATTTTCTGACTGCAAACTAATTCACTTTTCTTTTCCTGCATGTACACTTCTCTTAAGTCGAGCTGTAACATTTTTTCGTTATCCACATAAGGCATAATCGTGTTATTGGTATTCAGGCACGTTGACTTGAACTCTGAAGCCTTATTTAACTTTCTTCTGCATAGGTTACATATAACCTCGTTGCTCTCATCATCAAATTTCTGAAACATATGCAACTTCAGACAGAAGGAAAATAACTGGCGGAAAATAACAATTAAATACTAAAAGTTAATTTATACTCGAGACTGCTATTACGTAATGTAATGATATTTCCGACTTACAAATATCGGAAAAAGAACATTTAAAATGTATCTGATACTGTTGTCTATCACTTCAAAACTTTCATCGGTTATAATTTTAAGGCAAAGCCTACACGACATTTCCTTAACATCAGTCATTACTCTGCAACAATCTTCTTTTAAATATAAACAGAAAACATAACGCAAAGACAAAAATACAAAGCACAAATCCCTCAAATCTAACCTAACCTTTTTGGCTTCTTATCTTGACTAAATTGGCAGTTGGCACTGTTGGCACTATTGGCATTGGCAGCGCATCTAGTTGTGGATAGAGGTGGGCGAAACATGACGATCCGGCCACAAAACATAGATCTGGCTCTCCGTACTAACACGAGAGACCGGAGCTACCACGGGTCGTGTGAATACACCTATCTATATATTTTTATTAATGGGAATGAATAGTGGAAATNCGGACCATTGGACGGATGTCGTGTGCAATGACTCTACGAGGAAACGGAACAGCAACATGAGCCGGATATCTTAGTTACAATTTAAACGTGAATAGGGTGATTCAGACATTAGCTGCTTTCTTTCGGTTGCCGCTTTCGGATCTAAACGCGTTATGATCCCAAAATCATGTTCGTAGTTGTTTTCTTGTTTCCGGATCATGTCAGATTAACGAAGGCTGTCCAGGCCTACACGAGAAGAGGCAGGATAAAGAGGGATAATCCCCCTCAATCCCAAATCATTGAGGCCAACTTCTAGCCATGGAATAATGGCGCGAAGCTCAAAACCTTCGAGATATGGCTGTTGCTTGAGGTAACTTGGATATTAGTAAAAATCGGTCGAAAATAATATATACAATGAAAATGTAAGGTTGCGCCAAGAAAAAAAGTTGTGCTCCTTGCAGAAAAAATTAAAAACTGCAAAAATACTCAAAAATGACGTGTTTTTCTAACATTTTCCAACATAACTTCTTAAATATGCAGTTTACAGAAAAAACTATTATCGGTGAAATTGTTTGTTATGAAATTTGCTACAAGATAGAATTGTTTTGATACCTGCGCATACCATATTTTTGTTGCTAAATAGCCAAAACAACGTAAGAAAGTGATGAAAATCCAGGTAATTTGGAAGCGTCAAACTGACAGGCAAGAAATTCTCCAGTTCTACTATAAATGTAGATGTAGTACTTTAAACGATTATAAAACGAAATTCCAAAACCCGATCCAAATCGGTCTGATAGTATTGGTATGAGACAATTTGTTACAAAATTTCAACGCGAAATGTCGTTATTTTTTTACGTGAGTGCTGGGGTTAAATTAGGCATTTTAATTGGCGCTGATTTTTTTACACATACTTGGACACCGTAACAATCATATAGAATAGTTAGAATATCAATTTTCTTTTTTTTTAATAATTTTTGGAACGAATTTAAGTTAGAAAAATTTTTATTTTATACTTTCGTGAAGCGGTTTTGCGGGTTGGAAAATATACCAAAGTACTAAAAAACAATTCTCGGAAAGGCGCTTAACTTGAAAAAAGAGAACGTTCAAATCGGTCCTATAAGTTCCGAGATATAGTGCCATAGTCAACAAGCGCTTGCTGCAAAACTATGTTTAATGTAACAACAATAAAAATTGAATTTGGTAGGTTTTTTCAAGAACTTTCCGTATGTTTTTTATAAATATGATCGCACGTGTGCTTTTTTATGAAAATTCAATGAATACCGTCAAGCCTACCATTTGCCGCAAAACCGGGGGGAGGGAATGAATTATAGAAATTGAAATCGCGCGTTCAAAAAAAAGCGCGCGCGCTTCGGCGTTCAATACCTCGGCTTCTATGGCTCCGATTTTGATGATTTTTTTTTAATCGATAAAGTAAAATGAGAGGAATTCAATTATCAAGATTTCATTGATATATTATAAATCCCTTTTCTGTCTATTACGACTACTTAAAATTTCTCACATTTGTTATACTGTATATTCATGTAAATAGTAATATCGATGGTAGGATATAGGTACATAATCCACTGTTACTAGGTTTTAGTTTTAATAATTACATGGTAATAATGTTTAAATAAAATCTTGAAATTTTTATTTAATATGTAATTTATTTATTGTATGCATAGAATATAGAAAAAGATATAGGTACAAATAATTATTTATTTATTTATGTTTATAAAACGTGTTTATTATATTTTCATTATCATCGTATTATTAAAGTTTTTCACTTTTTTACATCATTGGTATTTTCACTTATAATATCAGCATTTGAATAAGTACCGTTTTCCATTATTTTCAAATCAGTGCTTAACTAATTGTAAGTAGGTACCACTGTCAGATTAACAGCAAATGATGACTTATGGTTGGTTAATTTGATTTTTTAAATTTGCTAGCAATTTCATAGCCACCCTCGCAAGAAATTGGATCATTTTATTTATCACAAAAACCGTCAGAACAGAAAAATTAAGAGATAGGTATATGGAGATGTAATGTGGATACATATAGAGTAAATTTTTACAACAGATTTTTATTAAATAAATTTTTGATTAAATGTACAAGGTGTCTAATTTAGAAAAACCAAGTTTTGGCGGTTTGGTCAATCAAATGCGACAATAAATATGAAACTGAAATAGGTCGAAGAGATGAAGCTTTATAAAATTCCCCTAAAATTACGCGTAGAATCCAAATATGCAAAAATATAGTTAAAATCGAAGCCGTAGAAGCCGATTTATTGAACGCCGAAGAGGGCACGCACTTTTTGAACGTGGAATTTCAGTTTCTATCATTCATCCCCTCCCCCCCAGTTTTGCGGCTCAAATGGTCGGCTTGGCGATATTCATTGAATTTTCATAAAAAAGGCACACGTGTGATATTTATAAAAGCACATACGAAAAGTTCTTAAAAAACCTACCAAATTCATATTTTGTTGTTAAATTATGCATAGTTTTGCAGCTAACGCTTGTTGACTTTGACACTCGATATCTCGGAACTTATAGGACCGATTTGAATGTTCTTTTTTTCAAGTTAAGCGTCTTTCCGAGAACTGTTTTTTAGTACCTTGGTATATTTTCCAACCCCTAAAACCGCTTCACGAAAGTAATTGTTTATAAAGTCAAAATTTTTCTAACTTTTCTCGTCGCTCCAATAATTATTCAAAAAAAGAAAATTGATTCTAACGAGTCTATATGATTGTTAGGGGGTCCAAGTAAGTGTAAAAAAATCAGCGCAGATTAAAATGTCTAACTTTAACTCCAGCACACACGTAAAAAAATAAGGACATTTCGTGCTGAAATTTAGTAACAAATTGTCTCATACCAGTACTATCAGACCGATTTGGAATTTCGTTTTATAATCGTTTAAAGTACTTACATCTACATTTATAGTAGAACTGGAGAATTTCTTGCCTGTCAGTTTGACGCTTCCAAATTACCTTGATTTTCATCACTTTCTTATGTTGTTTTGGTTATTTAGCAACGAAAATATGAAATGCGCAGGTATCATAACAATTCTATCTTGTAGCAAATTTCATAACAAACAATTTCACCAATAATAGTTTTTTCTGTAAACTGCATATTTAAGAAGTTATGCTGGAAAATGTTAGAAAAAACACGTCATTTTTGAGTATTTTTGCAGTTTTTAATTTTTTCTGCAAATAGCACAACTTTTTTTCTTGGCGCAACCNGTCAGAACAGAAAAATTAAGAGATAGGTATATGGAGATGTAATTTGGATACATATAGAGTAAATTTTTACAACAGATTTTTATTAAATAAATTTTTGATTAAATGTACAAGGTGTCTAATTTAGAAAAACCAAGTTTTGGCAGTTTGGTCAATCAAATGCGACAATAAATATGAAACTGAAATAGGTCGAAGAGATGAATATAGGGAAGCTTTATAAAGTTCCCCTAAAATTACGCGTAGAATCCAAATATGCAAAATATAGTTAAAATCGAAGCCGTAGAAGCCGATATATTGAACACCGAAGAGGGCACGCTCTTTTTGAACGTGGAATTTCAGTTTCTATCATTCATCCCCTCCCCCCCAGTTTTGCAGCTCAAATGGTCGGCTTGGCGATATTCATTGAATTTTCATAAAAAAGGCACACGTGTGATATTTATAAAAGCACATACGGAAAGTTCTTGAAAAAACCTACCAAATTCAATTTTTATTGTTGTTACATTAAACATAGTTTTGCAGAAAGCGCTTGTTGACTATGGCACTATATCTCGGAACTTATAGGACCGATTTGAACGTTCTTTTTTTTCAAGTTAAGCGTCTTTCCGAGATTTGTTTTTTAGTACTTTGATATATTTTCCAACCCGCAAAACCGCTACACGAAAGTATTTGTTTATAAAGTAACAATTTTTCTAACTTTTAAATTCGCTCCAAAAATTATTAAAAAAAAGAAAATTGATACTCTAACTATTCTATATGATTGTTACGGTGTCCAAGTATGTGTAAAAAAATCAGCGCCAATTAAAATGTCTAACTTTAACCCCAGCACTCACGTAAAAAAATAACGACATTTCGCGTTGAAATTTTGTAACAAATTGTCTCATACCAATACTATCAGACCGATTTGGATCGGGTTTTGGAATTTCGTTTTATAATCGTTTAAAGTACTTACATCTACATTNTCTATTTCGTGCAGAGATATAGACAGATATATCTCTGATTTCGTGGGTCCGTTAAATGAATATTATTCAGCGAGATATACAGTACGTCCACTCGATTGGTACACGAGTCGCAGTGTAGTAAGAAGGGAAGGAATAGTTACGACAAATTCGGCTCCCTAGGAGGAATCGTATCAGCAAAATGAGCCGGATTTCTTAGTTAAAATTTCAACGTCTATACAGGGTGATTCAGGCATAATGTCATTAATTTTAACCACGTATTCGGAAAAACTCGTATTCAACATAGTGAAAATGTTAACAATATTAAAAATACTAAATTGTAATAACGTAACATTCGAAAACAATTATTATCCTTTGTTTTTATTAACAAATAAATACTTGGTAATATTCAAAATGTAAAAAAGTCTCTTATTCATTCACGCATCTGTATAAAAAGATCTTATTTATTCGTTGTAGTTCATTACGGATTAAAAACGCATTAAAAGCTAGATTAATGACCGAATAGGACAAGATTTACTCTCGATAAACCTTTGTGGGTCAGCGGTCAGGAGTCATTCCAAATGGGATTTAAATAATTATTTGAAAGTATTTTCTTCAGTATAAATAAGCATTTTTTAACTGTGTTCTCATATTCTACTTATTTTTTCCCATCCTTAGAATTAATGACATTATGACCGAATCGCCCTGTATGAGTTTAATGCTCGACATGTAAATACCACAGAGATAAAAAATAATGCACATATATTTTGCTTTAGTTCTTTTATTCCTAATATTGTTGCAAAAAAAACCTATTAATTGTACAGGCTGTTACAAATTCACTTCCCACTACAGGGATCTCGGAAACAGTAAGAGCTACGAAGTAGTTTAAATGGGGCAAAGTTGCATAATCAGGGGACCAACATTATGCATCTAAAAAATCAAGGCTAACATGATTTAGTTTTCTAAATATTTGAAAAAACAGAAATTTTGGAAATCCGATTTTGTTTCATTTCAGCCTCGTTTGAGGTGATATTGAAAAAAGAAAAACACTTTCGCATGGCAACTTTTTGCCCTCTATCGAATGGCATATTCAATTTTTATATGTAACGTTTCGTCTTTCCAGGACCATCGTCAACTTCATTCTTTAAATACGGCCCCGGAAATTCTATTTCATTTTTTACAAGCCTTCATGACCCCCAATACTATATTGCCTCAGCCCGAACCAGATTCTGACGTTTTGTCTTGAAAAATTCATCTTCAATGTATTCGTTCCAAATTTATCTAATTTTTTATTTAGATTTTTATGTTTATTGAATTATCGTACACTCTTAAGTGTCGTTAGACCCTGTGAGATCCAGCTAGTTATTTAAATTATTACCGTCACCTGGTCATATATAACTCGATAAGATGTTGCGTGAAAATTAAAACATTAAAATTTTAATTTTATTATGAAAAATTAATTCTTGAACATGCATATGAACAACCAAAACGTCAAATGAATATTATTATACAATAAAAAATTACAGTAAACTTTCAAAAACATTTCCGTTTTGGCAAATGTTGAAAATGAAGATAAGAGTAATATGGTCGGAATTTATTACACCTGTACCCGCAACTGTGAAAAAGCACGTCAAATGTATTTAAATGAATATCCTGAAAAAAAATTCGATCGGAATTTGTTTGAATTTTGAGCACTCGAGAAGCCTAGAAATAACTATGGGCACGGGATTAAAACTCTAATAATGCTTTATTGTAACGCGTGGTGGTAATAGTACAACTAGGTGGATTTCCTAGGGTCTAACGACACTTAGAATGTACGATAATTCAATAAACATAAAAATCTAAATAAAAAATTTAGAAAAATTTCAAAAACTAAATCATGATTGATTTTTTAGAGGCATAATAGCGGTCCTCTGATTACGCAACTTTGCCCCCATTTAAGCTAGTTCGTATCAGTTACCGTTTCCGAGATCCCTAGTGAGAAGCCAATTTGTAACACCCTGTATATTCTACAAAGTAAATTGTATCACTATTTAAAACACATATTGATGCACACAATTGGGATTCACTCTGAACATTGTACAGATATAAGATATATTTTTAGACATGGACAAAACAGGTGCATATTACAATGTACAGTAAGGCCCCGCTTAACGCTGTTTCGTTTAGCGCTGTTTCGGTTTAGCGCTCTTTAATTTCAACCTGGGGATTCCCCGAAATTGCTCGCAGCACTACGGGATTCCCCGAAGTTGTGCGCAGCGCTAGATTTCCAAATATGTATGTACATAACCTATCCGAAACAGTGTAATTGTGTTTCTTGTTTGGTGCGGTGCTGTACGAACGCATTTTTATCAGTTGAAACATTTGATGACATTATTGTAAGTATAAATTTATATAATACTATAATGATTAATACAGTGACAGATATTATGACCTTTAGTTTTTATCATGGGTGATAATGAAAAACAAGAAAAGAAAGCAACCAGAAAAAGCGTTTCACTGGAAACTAAAATGCAAGTGATTAGAAGATTAGATTCTGGTGAACGTCAATCCCAAATTAGTTCTGCATAGAATTTAGAAAATGATCCAAATTTTGACAGGAGTTCAAAAACAAGACGGGCTGTTATAGATGCTTTATCCACTTATCAACAACTTCTAACAGAACGCAAAAGGAAAACGCAAACTACATTAGATGCCTTCTTGACAAAAAGGCAGAAAATTGGAAACACAGAATAGACTGAATGATCCGACTGACTAATATTCGTTTATATTGTTTTTATTTTTGTAAGAAATAAATGTTTGGTTTTATTTTTATTAAAAAAAACACAATTATTTAGAGATGGGCAATGGGAAATTTTCCGTCCCGGAAAGTTTCCAAAACGGAAATTTTCCGGGAAGAAATAATCGAAGCTTGAGAAATTTTCCCTGAAAAGTTTCTGAAAAAATTTCCGTCGGAAATTTTCCGGGAATATTTCTAACAATTTGTAAACTTGGAGCCAATTTTACTTCTAACTTCTATGAACATACACAAAAAATCGTTAGTTAATTTCGGATTTTCGGTTAATTCGGAATACCAGAAGACCATATTATCCAAATAAGTTAGAAAACACTTACACTTACTTATTTTAAGCTTTGTTAAGTCTACAATCTACATAATAGAGAGCAATACAAGACTCATAAATTGCCTCCTTTTCAAATTTAATATGAATTTTGATAGTTGAACCAAAGTATAATTACATTTTAAAACTAGTATAATTATTTAATGTATTTACTATTTGTTTGTTAAAAAATAAAGATAAATATTGTATACTGTATAGTGTTAATGCACTATAACCCTCAGCATGTAATTTTTTCTAACGGATGATTAATACATAATTTATATTTTTCCAATATTTATACCAATATAAATAAAAATGTATATAAGTATTTGGTCTTTTTGGAAAGCTGATGGTATGTAGAACACAATACCAAATCCAAATTTTTTTTGAAATTTTCGGAAAATTTCCGGAATTTTCAATGGAAACTTTCCAGGAATTTTCATAGTTTGGGAATTTTCCATCTCTATAATTATTAAATTTAATACCTAACCAATTTTCTATCCATCTTCACCTAACCCCATTATTTACATGTTAAGATAGGCTCGTTTAGCGCTGTTTCGCATTACGCTCTACTTTGATGGAACGTATCCTACGCGTTAAGAGGGGTCATACTGTATGTATATTAATACACTTGGCTACAGAAACGCATGTAAACTTGTTGATGTTTTTCAAGATAGACTTTACATTTTGCTTCAGTTCAAATATTTAGTCAGTCTCTAAAATGCCCCAATTTTTGACTGTACTTCAATGGGCGGAACTTCACATTTTTTGTGCATCAATTGACGTTTTCTCAAAAAGTTCTTCTATGCTTCAACAAATGACATACCACTCCTGCATTTGGATTCGTAATCTCAGTCATTACACTAGTATCTTTAGAACTTGCGCAGCGTATTTGTTTCAGTTGATGACGCTGCAGATGATTCTTGTATTTACTTTCGAAGGGGCAGTTGTTACACTTGTATGTCTGGACCTGAGAAGGATTTTTATGCTTAAGTTGGTGCTGTATGATACATCTCCTATATCTAGTTTTGTAATTGCAGTCGTTACACTTGTACATTTGAAGCTGCGAAAGATCTTTATGTTTCAGTAGGTGCTGTCTGATATTATCCTTGTACTTAGTTTCGTAATCGCAGTCGTTACACTTGTATGTTTGTACTAGCAAAGGATTTTTATGTTTCAGTTGGTGCTGTTTGATACTATTCCTGTACTTAGTTTCGAAATCGCAGTCCTTACACCCGTACATTTGAACCTGCGAAGGATCTTTATGTTTCAGTTGATGCTCTTTGAAATGCCTATTGAATCTAGTTTTGTAATCGCAATCGTTACAACTGTACATTTGAACCTGTGAAGGATTTTTATGTTTCAGTTGATGCTCTTTGAAATTACTCTCGTTTCTAGTTTCATAATCGCAATTGTGACACCTGTACATTTGAACCTGCGAAGGATCTTTATGTTTCAGTTGATGCTTTTTGAAATGACTCTTGTATCCAGTTTCATAATCGCAATAGTGACACCTGTACATTTGAACCTGTGAAGGATCTTTATGTTTCCTTTGATGCAGTTTAATATTATTCTTGTATTTACTTTCAAAATCGCAGTCATTACACCGGTACATTTGAACCTGCGAAGTATCTTTATGTTTCAGTTGATGCTTTTCGAAACAGCTCCTGTATTTAGTTTCGAAATCGCAGTCGCTGCACCTGTACATTTGAACTTGTGAAGGAGCTTCATGCTTCAGTTGGTGTTCTTTCATATGTTTGCTGTATCTAGTTTCGTAGTTGCAGTCATTACACTTGTACCTTTGAACCAGTGAAGGATCTTTATGTGTCAGTTGGTGCCCTTTGAGATTACTCTTGTATTTACTTTCATAATTGCAGTCGCTACACCTATACATTTGAATGAGTGAAGGATCTTTATGTTTCACTTGGTGCTTTTTGACAGCATACTTGTATTTAGTTTCGTAATTGCAGTCTTTACACTTGTACATTTGAACCTGTGAAGGATCTTTATGCTTCAGTTGGTGTCCTTCCATATGTTTGCTGTATATAGTTTCGTAATTGCAGACGCTACACCTATACATTTGAACCTTCAAAAGGTGCTTCAGAAGTAATTTCTTATTTTCAGTTTCGTAATCATACGATTCACATCCATATGCTCTCAAATTGTTCTCATGTCTCGCACAGTGTGCAGTAAAACGGATCTCACTTTCAGTTTCGTAGATACATTTATCACATTTGTACAATACTTTGCGCTCCTGCCTGGTTTTCACTGCTGATCCATTCTCATGTTTACATCCATCCTCTTCTTCATTTTTGCAGTCACTCTCCTCGAATGGTACAATATCGCAGGTCTGAAAAGGCGTGTCCCTGAAAAAATTGCATATACAGAGTAGTTTTGAAAATCAGGTATTAATTTTAAGGGGTTATGACAATAATTGAATCAACCATGATAATGTATTAATTATCAGAAAAGGCATTTGCGAGATGCTAAGTATAAAGTCACACAGTAAATCCATAAACAAAGTTAGATACAGATAATTGAAATACGATCTACTATTAATAAATTTATTAAATTTTCATCAAATAATAACTCCCAGTATATCACCTTTTTTTTGTCAGTTATTTAGTTTTGTTTTTTTACCATATCACAAATTTTAATGCACGAGTTACAAAAATTTAAGGATAAAGAAAATCCTAAATTTTTGGGTGATTTTTGAAAGGCTGACATAAAGAAAAATGGTCGTAGAGCAATAAAAAAAAGTAAATTGAAGCCTGAAGGTTCTAGTGTCAGGATCTTAAGCTGAAAAATTTTTATCGTTGACCACGTTTTAGAAATCAAAAGAAATCCCGGGGAAATTTTTTTTAAATAATTTTTGCTTCAGTTTCAACAGGTCCACGGGTCTCAATATTTTTTTTGGCAATCCAATCTGTCAGCTCTTTTAGTTTAATTCATTCTCTTTGAATTGAGCTGATGAAGACCTTTATAAATTTCAAAATTGCATACTTGAGGATTTTTGTTAAACCTGAGATTGATATTGAAGATATTTAATTTTTTTGTTTTACTTTCTGTCACGACTTCAAATGGCTGCGATTTTTCTTTCACCGTGAATTGTCAATTAAAGAATAAATTTTGCATTAAATCATTATTTTTAAATAGAAAAAGTTTTTTTCACAAAAATCTATATATTTCCTTCATAAAAAAATGTCATGAGAAAAAAAAAAGAAAATTAGATTTTTTTTTTTTTGAAAAAAAATCTTTTCGGAAAAATATTCTTTACAATATTCACAATGCTATACAAATATCAAATTAAGTTATCTTTTTTTTTTAGAGCAGTTTCCACTTTGTTTTCAAACGTCAATTTAAAAATTAATTGCAACAAGTTGTATAGCCCCAATCAATTGTTGTATTTCTTCTATCTATATAAACATCTAGTCTTTTCAATCAAGAAAATTCCGTCCAAAGTTAATAAATTGATTGAATGAATGGAATTTAGTGTAGCATTCTTTGTACCCGTATCTGACTCAAAGCCATCCTGACTGTTTTATAACGATCTTACGTATTTTCCCAATCGTTTATAATGGACAATCTCATAATTTGTTACAATTAGTTTATCACCAGATGGTACGTATTTAATCATATAAATCATGAAATGTCCGAACCACGGGCTGACATTTTTTAAATTAATGTTAAAATAGTCTCCTATTACCTTGTTTCCTCATCTTCCGATTTTATGTCAACACATTCAGCTTTGATCGACATTTCCATCCCGTTAATATCAAATTTATTGTCCAGGTTTTCAGTCTCAACGATTAAACCAAGTGGAGACGTATCTATTTGACTTCCTGTGGCTGAACTATCAAAAATACTTTTAATTTTTTCTTCTACCTCTGAGCAATCTTTTAGGAAACTGTTGTGAGTACACAGAGAATCGAAGCATGGCTTACAAACAACGGGATCTTTGATGATATTTATAAACTGCAAAGCAGTTTCGTTAAATTATAAAATATGCAAGTAATTAATATTGTTCATACCATTTCAGGTGTCAATTTCTGGATAGCTTCAAGTTCCTCTTCACGTATGCACCTAAACTCACTTTCTACTGGGTGCATAGACAATCGACATATTTTCTGACTGCAAACTAATTCACTTTTCTTTTCCTGCATGTACACTTCCCTTAGGTCGAGCTGTAACATTTTTTCGCTATCCACATAAGGAATAATTGTGTTATCAGTATTCAAACACGTTGATTTAAATTCTGAAGCCGCATTTAACTTTCTTCTGCAAGCGTTACATATAACCTCTTTGCTCTCGCTATCAAATTTCTGAAAAATATACATTTTCAAACAGAAAGAAAATAACTATGGCGGAAAATAACAATTAAATACTAAAAGTTAATTTATACTCGGGACTGTTAAGACGTAATCTAAATATAATTCACGTTTACCAATTTCAGCAAAAGACCATCTAGAATGTCTCTGATAATGTGGTTTATCACTTCAAAACTTTCGTCGGTTATATTTTTAAGGCAAAGCCTACACGACATTTCCTTAACATCAGCCATTACTCTGCAACAATCTTCTTTTAAATATAAACAGAAAACAAAACGCAGACAAAAATACAAATCACAAAGCCGTCAGTCATTTCTAAACTTCTTGGCCTCTTAAGCAGTTGGCAGTATTGGCAATGGCAGCGCATCTAGGTATTTATGGGTTATGGCTAGCAATAGAGATGGGCGAAATATGACGGTCCGGTTCGCCGTCGCCGAACCCGCTCGCCGTAAAATTCCACGCTCGCCGTAAAATTCCTCCAATCCACGGTAGTGTGGGGGTGGTTTACACGAACCAGGAAAAGGCCGAGGCTTTCGCCGATAGCCTGGAACTGCAGTGTAGACTGCCTCAGCTGCCCGACGAAGACGAGGAATTNAAATTGCATATTTGAGGATTTTTGTTAAACCTGAGATTGATATTGAAGATATTTAATTTTTTTGTTTTACTTTCTGTCACGACTTCAAATGGCTGCGATTTTTCTTTCACCGTGAATTGTCAATTAAAGAATAAATTTTGCATTAAATCATTATTTTTAAATAGAAAAAGTTTTTTTCACAAAAATCTATATATTTCCTTCATAAAAAAATGTCATGAGAAAAAAAAAAGAAAATTAGATTTTTTTTTTTTTGAAAAAAAATCTTTTCGGAAAAATATTCTTTACAATATTCACAATGCTATACAAATATCAAATTAAGTTATCTTTTTTTTTAGAGCGGTTTCCACTTTGTTTTCAAACGTCGATTTAAAAATTAATTGCAACAAGTTGTATAGCCCCAATCAATGTATGTATTTCCTTCTATCTATATAAACATCTAGTCTTTTCAATCAAGAAAATTCCGTCCAAAGTTAATAAATTGATTGAATGAATGGAATTTAGTGTAGCATTCTTTGTACCCGTATCTGACTCAAAGCCATCCTGACTGTTTTATAACGATCTTACGTATTTTCCCAATCGTTTATAATGGACAATCTCATAATTTGTTACAATTAGTTTATCACCAGATGGTACGTATTTAATCATATAAATCATGAAATGTCCGAACCACGGGCTGACATTTTTTAAATTAATGTTAAAATAGTCTCCTATTACCTTGTTTCCTCATCTTCCGATTTTATGTCAACACATTCAGCTTTGATCGACATTTCCATCCCGTTAATATCAAATTTATTGTCCAGGTTTTCAGTCTCAACGAATAAACCAAGTGGAGACATATCTATTTGACTTCCTGTGGCTGAACTATCAAAAATACTTTTAATTTTTTCTTCTACCTCTGAGCAATCTTTTAGGAAACTGTTGTGAGTACACAGAGAATCGAAGCATGGCTTACAAACAACGGGATCTTTGATGATATTTATAAACTGCAATGCAGTTTCGTTAAATTATAAAATATGCAAGTAATTAATATTGTTCATACCATTTCAGGTGTCAATTTCTGGATAGCTTCAAGTTCCTCTTCACGTATGCACCTAAACTCACTTTCTACTGGGTGCATAGACAATCGACATATTTTCTGACTGCAAACTAATTCACTTTTCTTTTCCTGCATGTACACTTCTCTTAGGTCGAGCTGTAACATTTTTTCGCTATCCACATAAGGAATAATTGTGTTATCAGTATTCAAACACGTCGACTTAAATTCTGAAGCCGCATTTAACTTTCTTCTGCAAGCGTTACATATAACCTCTTTGCTCTCGCTATCAAATTTCTGAAAAATATACATCTTCAAACAGAAAGAAAATAACCGTGGCGGAAAATAACAATTAAATACTAAAAGTTAATTTATACTCGAGACTGTTAAGACGTAATCTAAATATAATTCACGTATACCAATTTCAGCAAAAGACCATCTAGAATGTCTCTGATAATGTGGTTTATCACTTCAAAACTTTCGTCCGTTATATTTTTAAGGCAAAGCCTACACGACATTTCCTTAACATCAGTCATTACTCTGCAACAATCTTCTTTTAAATATAAACAGAAAACAAAACGCAGACAAAAATACAAAGCACAAAGCCGTCAGTCATTTCTAACCTTCTTGGCCTCTTTAGCAGTTGGCAGTATTGGCAATGGCAGCGCATCTAGGTATTTATGGGTTATGGCTAGCAATAGAGATGGGCGAAATATGACGATCCGGTTCGCCGTCGCCGAACTGACACGAGAGACCGGAGTGACCCAGTTCCTTCGTTCCTTCACAGAGTCACTCCACACGTCGACCGTTCCATTACCGTCAAATTAGACACGGGTGCAGAATGTAATGTACTCCCGAAGAACGTGATTGAAAGGCTAGGAGTTCAAGATAAAATGGTTCCCCCAAAAACAAAAAAACTAGTAAGTTTTACAAATGACCATGCTAACGTTATTGGAGAAGTAAACCTATGCTGTCAAACCAGAGGTAAAGAAGTACCGATAACTTTTAAAATTTTTGACGCATCAGTACATTTAATACTCGGGAAAAATTCTTGGGAAACTTTACAGTTGGTGGAAAGAGTACACCAGATCTATACAGAAGATGAAGTATTTAAAGATTTAGGATGCTTAAAGAATTATGAGTAGGACATAGATCTAATCGATAATCCCCAGTTCAAGATAAAATAAAGTCGGAAGAATGCCTCACTCAATACGAAATATTGTGAAACAAGAAGTAGATTCTATGGTAAAATCAGGAGTAATAAAACCAATAAAGGAACCAACACCTTTAGTAAGCCCAATGGTTATTGTAAGAAAAAACAATAACGTAGAGTGTTCAATGGATGACATATTAATCCATGCAGCTACTCCATCAAAATTACAAGAAATAACTGAAAAGGTAATTAAAAAGATACATGAAGCCGGAACTCCTGAAATACTCGAAACTGATAATGGTCCACAGTATACCGCTTTAGATTTCCAGCAATTTAAGAGAAAGTGGGTTTTCGATCACCAAACATACCATACCACCCGAGAGGAAATGGATTGGCAGAACGAGGTGTACAAATTTGCAAAAACATACTTCGAAAATGTTCAATAGACAATACAGATGTACAGTTGACATTACTTAACTACAGAAATACACCCCAAAATTCAGTACTTGGATGCCCAAATCAAAGTCTTTTGAGTAGAATGACTAAGACAACCTTACCCTCAACAGAGTCTAGCTTATTACCCAAAGTAAAGCAAGACGTCTCGTCAGAACTTGCAAATCTAAGAAAAACGCAACTCACTTATGCAAATAGGAACACTAAAAAGCCTGAACAATTGCACATAGGTGATAGAGTAAGAATCCAAGAATCAGCTAGAAATTTGGTAGGAGGAGAAGTGATATCCCAGGTCAGTGATAGTAAAGACCAGAAAGGGAGCCATATATAGAAGAAACTCCTCAATGCTTCACACAACCGAAGCTGAAATTACTGAACATAAAACCATTGTACCAACCATACCTTGCGATAAAGAACGTGGAAGAGAAATCATCTCCTAACAATGAATTACATATACCCCCATCGTACACACAGATAACGAAATTTACCATTAAAGAGCCCACAGAAGAAAAATTGCCAGTGGTATATATGCATAAGTATTTAAAGACATTTAACTCTTAACAGGTAATTAATATTAGAACCTAGAATATTTTGTAAAAAGGGAAGATGTAACATAGTGATATTCCGGATATTCCGTGGTCTACATCACATGTTAAAACATATTTTTTAATAAAATATTTCTATATCTTCAAGTTAATAAATATAAATACGGCTAACGACGTTACAGGTAGTGCCCTGTGAGATCCACCTAGTTACTTCCCCCCCATATTTTATTTGTCTTTGTGAAGCCTATGTAAATCGAATGTAGATATTTTAGATCATTTAAGAAAAACGCAAAAGTTATAAATTTTGAGTTTTCAAATAATCAAGAAATTCTTAAAGTTACAAAATACAAAGACGACAAATTCAACAAGATTCAAACACACGTTTTAATTATGTTTTACAGTAAAATTACAAATATTATTATCCACTGATAAATTAATTGATTCTGACATCGATCATTAAGGGGGGGGGGCGTTTTTATGCGCAATTTTCAATGGATTTTCTGTCCAAGTCTTTAAAAAAATCTAAGCAAGTTAGAAACAATATCTATTCACTGTTCCAGTGACAATACATTTTAAGTATGGAAAAAAAATCGCGTACGGTAGTATAAACATAGTCACACCCAGCAGAATGCTTTTAGAATACTATTTACACATGAATTAATCACAATTATTGAGTAGTTTTATAAATGAATTGGACAAAACAGGAAAGGTACATTTTTTGAACGTTTTCACGCGGGAAATTATAGGAATCGTTTGTATTTTAACATTTCCATAGTTTGGATACTGTCGAAAAGATGGCGGAAGTCACAGTCTTCGTCCTAAGATTATTTACGTNTTAATTGATTCTGACATCGATCATTAAGGGGGGGGGGCGTTTTTATGCGCAATTTTCAATGGATTTTCTGTCCAAGTCTTTAAAAAAATCTAAGCAAGTTAGAAACAATATCTATTCACTGTTCCAGTGACAATACATTTTAAGTATGGAAAAAAAATCGCGTACGGTAGTATAAACATAGTCACACCCAGCAGAATGCTTTTAGAATACTATTTACACATGAATTAATCACAATTATTGAGTAGTTTTATAAATGAATTGGACAAAACAGGAAAGGTACATTTTTTGAACGTTTTCACGCGGGAAATTATAGGAATCGTTTGTATTTTAACATTTCCATAGTTTGGATACTGTCGAAAAGATGGCGGAAGTCACAGTCTTCGTCCTAAGATTTTTTCCGTCTAGATTCAGACTAACTTCTTCAATTATTACCGTTCAGGGTTATGCACGAGGTGTTGATAAAATATCTCACATTAATCTTTTGGCCACTTTGCACTCTTTGAAAACATTTTACTATTAGTGATTTTGATCTTGTACGCCAATTTGAATTTGATTTAATACAAGTTAAAGGTTTAAAATGAAATAAAAATATATAAATTATAATACAGAAATAATATAAAAGTAATACAATTAAAAAATAACAATAAGTTAAATATGGCTAAAATCACTTGTTAAAAACTGTTCAATGTTATAAAAACCATTTTGTAAAAGATTGTATTAATTAAATCTAAGAGCATTTTACTTCTTAATGACAGACATGTGTCATCAGCAAACAAAATTCCCAGAACATCATTATCCAACGAGTTAAGTAGGTCATTAATATAGATTAAAAATAGTATGGGCCCTAGTATTGATCCCTGGGGTCCTCCATGTTTAACAGTTTTCAAGTAGGATTTTACATTATTGTTTAACTCACTAACTGTTGCCTATCTGTCAACTCAACATCTGTATACTGTCCTCGGTAAACCCTTAAAATTGTAGCTATTTAACAAGAATATTATGATACACAAATGCTTTTGACAAGTCTAAAAATTGTGTATTCACCATTTTCAAAACCTTCATTAATATAGGAAACAAGTTTGTTTATAGCCAATTGTGAAAACCATAATGATTTGAATTCACAATACCATGGGTGTCAAAACAATTGGTATTTTAAATATATACTCATAAATTTTTGCAAAATATGGAATTAAGGATATGGATCTAAAATTGGAAGGATCATTTACGTTATTCTTTTCATATATCGGTACTACTCTGGCAATTTTTAGTCTGGAAAAATAGTCGACTTGATACTAAGGTTAATGAAGTTGGTAATTGGGATTAGTATTGAATTCATTATACTTTCCACTATCTGCGAATTTAAGTTATAAACATCTTCACATTTTTTATTTTTTAAAGTCATAATGACATTGGCTACTTACCAGGGTGTTACCTCCGTAAATTGAAACTTATTTTCTCCATCACTACTATGCAGGTATTCCGTAAATTGCAGATTACAAGTACTTAAATTAATTAAGGTATTATCGGCTATATCGACAGAGAAGCTGTTAAATTCTTCGTCTGTACCAATAGAAAAAGTAGGGCTAGGTTCAATTTTAAGACTATTTATAATGTTCCACGTTGATTTTTTGCGGATTATCATGACTCCTCTCAAAATTATCAAATTATCGTTAAACTTTACCGTAGATTCTGATATTTTCTTACGGCATAGATAACGGTAGTTGTTATAGATAGTCCTATTTGCTTCAGTGGGATTACTTTTATAAAAATCATGAGGAAAATACACACGTTCGCGCATTTGCTTCAAACTGTCATCAAACCAAGATGAGCGAGTGTTTTTGAAGCTATCTATTACTTTACTTTTTACAGGTCAGCATTTGAAATTGCCAGTAGCAAAAAAAAATTATAAATATATTGGTAGGTATAACAATAATATATTTGAGAAATTTACAATGTCCTAGTTTATTATGACTACTTTTTGTGCATTTGTTGAAATTATCTGACTGTTGCTCATTCCGCTAATTTTGCTTAATCCTGCTCTGGCGGCCAGATATTCTGCGAATATATAGTAACCTATAAAAGAAATCTTTACACCTGTTATGTGGAAAATGTGAAATTTCTTGTCTATAAAACGCCCACCTTAAATAAATCTAAATGGGGAATTTTATTTAGACAGCTATTACTACTTATTAAGTATTAATATACTTACTATGAATTAACCAACTTTATTTTATTGTCATATACATCTACAACTAATAGCTAAGGATAAAATAAAGTTTTAAATATAAACTTCTTTTACTGGGGCTCTTGCGCGAGGCCCCTGAATGAGCGAGGCCACGGGCCATTGCCCTGCTCGCCACCCCCTAAGGCATATTACAATATATCTAAATTAATACACCTGGTTACAGAAGCACATGTAAACTTGTTGATGTTTTTCAAGATAGGCTTTACACTTTGCTTCAATTCAAATATTTTTAGTCAGCCTCTAAAATGCCCCAATTTTTAACTGTGCTTCCGTCGGAGGCACTGCAATGTTTCCTCCAAAATTTCTTTGCACTCGTGAAGGCTTTCTATACTTCAACACGTGATATTTTATACCACTCCTTTATTTGGATTTATACTCGCAGTCCTTACATCTGTACATTTAGACGTACAAGTATCTTCATGTTTCATTTGGTGCTTTTTGATAACACTCTTATATATATTTTTATAATCGCAATCGTTACACCTGTACATCTGAACCTGTGAACGATCTTTATGTTTCAGTTGATGCCGTTTGAGATACCTCTTGAATTTAGTTTCATAATCGCAATCGTTACACCTGTACATTTGAACCTGAGAAGGACCTTTATGTTTCAGTCGGTGCAGTTTGAAAGCATTCTTGTACTTAGTTTTGTGTTTGCAGTCATTACAACTGTACATCTGAACCTGTGAAGGATCTTTATGTTTCAGTTGATGCCGTTTGAAATGACTCTTGTGTCTAGTTTCATAATCGCAATCGTTACACCTGTACGTCTGAACCTGTGAACGATCTTTATGTTTCAGTTGATGCCGTTTGAGATACCTCTTGAATTTAGTTTCATAATCGCAATCGTTACACCTGTACATTTGAACCTGAGAAGGACCTTTATGTTTCAGTCGGTGCAGTTTGAAAGTATGATTGTACATAGTTTTGTATTCGCAGTCATTACAACTGTACATTTGAATCTGCGAAGGATTTTTATGTTTTGTTTGATGCAGTTTAATATTATACTTGTATTTAGTTTTGAAATCAAAGTCGTTACACCTGTACATTTGAACCTGCGAAGGATCTTTATGTTTCAGTTGATGCTGTTGGAAAGCATTCTTGTATTTAGTTTCGAAATCGCAGTCATTACACCTGTACATTTGAACCTGCGAAGGATCTTTATGTTTCAGTTGATGCAGTTGGAAAGCATTCTTGTACTTAGTTTTGTATTCGCAGTCATTACAACTGTACATATGAATTTGCGAAGGATTTTTATGTTTCGTTTGATGCAGTTTAATATTATTCTTATATTTAGTTTTGAAAACGCAGTCGTTACACCTGTACATTTGAACCTGCGAAGGATCTTTATGTTTCAGTTGATGCAGTTGGAAAGCATTATTGTACTTAGTTTTGTATTCGCAGTCATTACAACTGTACATTTGAATCTGTGAAGGATCTTTATGTTTCCGTTGATGCCGTTTGAAATAATTCTTGTATTTAGTTTCATAATCGCAATGGTGACACCTGTACATCTGAACCTGTGAAGGATCTTTATGTTTCAGTTGATGCTGTTTGAAATGACTGTTGTACCTTGCTATATCGGAGGTCTGAAGTGGCGTGTCGCTGAAAAAATTGCATTTTCAAAATCAGGTATTAATTTTAAGGGGTTATGACGATAACTGAATCAACCATAGTACTGATAGCACAATTTTAACTTTAATGATGATTCAGATCTTTGATAATGTATTTAATTATCAGAAAAGGCATTTGCGAGATGCAGAACATTTGTGAGATCCTATGTATAAAGTCACACAATAAATCCATAAACAAAGTTAGATACAGATAATTTAAATACAATCTACAATAGCACTATTAATAAATGTATTAAATTTTAATCAAATAATAACACCCAGTATATCACCTTCTTTTTGTTTGTCAACGTTAGTTAGTTTTGGTTTTTTATCTCATCAAAATTTTAATACACTAGTCACAAAAATTAAAGGATAAAAAGAAAATCCTAAATTTTTAGGTGATTTTCTAAAGGCTGTAACTTAATGAAAAATGGTCGTAGAGCAATAAAAAAAAGTAAATTGAAATTTGAAGGTTCTAGTTTCAGGATCTTCAGCTGAAGAATTTTTATCATTGACCACCTTTTAGAAATCAAAAGAAATCCCGTGGGAATTTTTTTTTATTATTTTTGCTTCACTTTCAACAGGTCCACGGATCTCAATATTTTTTTTGGTAATCCTACCTGTCAGCTCCTTTAATTTAATTCATCCTCTTTGATTTGAGCTGTTCAAGACCTTCATATATTCCAAAATTGTGTATTTGAGGATATTTGTTAAACCTGAGATTGATATTGAAAATATTTTCGTTTTTTTTTTTACTTTCTGTCAAGAGTTCAAATGGCTGCGATTTTTCTTTCATCATGAATTAAAGAATAAATTTTGCATCTTTAAATCTTTTTTAAATTGAGTTTTCTTCGCAAAAATCTATATATTTTCTACATCAAAAACTGTCATGAGGAAAAATATGAAAATTGGATTTTTTTTTTAAACAAAGTTCTTTTCGGAAATATATTTTTTGCAATACTCACAATGCTATACAAATATCAAATAAAGTTGTCCTCTTTTTTTAGTGCTTTTTCTACCGTTTTCAAACGTCAATTAAAAAAATTTATTGCAACAAGTTGTATAGCCCCAATCGATTGCTGAATTTTCTTCTATCTATCTAAAGATCTATCCTTTTCATTCAAGAAAATTTAAATTTCAGTCCAAAGTTAATAAACTGATTGAATGAATGGAATTTAGTACAGCATTCATTGTACCCATATCTGACTCGAAGCCATACTGATTGTTTTATAACGATCATACGTATTTTCCCAATAATTTGTTAACCTTATGCTTAATGATTATATAAAAATTTGTACGATATCGTATATAACCGACAATCTCATAATTTGTTACAATTTGTCACCAGATGGTACGTATTTAATCATATAAATCGCGAAATGTCCAACCCACGGGCTGACATTTTTTAAATTAATGTTAAAATAGTCTCCTCTTACCTTGTTTCCTCATCTTCCGATTTTATGTCCACAGATTCAGCTTTGATCGACATTTCCATCTCGTTAATATCGAATTTCTTGTCGGGGTTTTCAGTCTCAACGAATAAACCAAGTGGAGACGTATCTATTTGATTTCCTGTGGCTGAAGAATCAAAAATACTTTTAACTTTTTCTTCTACCTCTGAGCAATCTTTTAGGAAACTGTTGTGAGTACACAGAGAATCAAAGCATCGCCTACAAACAACGGGATCTTTGATGATATTTATAAACTGCAAAGCAGTTTCGTTAAATTATAAAATATGCAAGTAATTAATATTGTTCATACCATTTCAGGTGTCAATTTCTGAATAGCTTCAAGTTCCTCTTCACGTATGCACCTAAACTCACTTTCTACTGGGTGTATACACAATCGACATATTTTCTGATTGTCTGAAATTGACTTGCTTTTCTTTTCCTGCATGTACACTTCCCTTAGGTCGAGCTGTAACATTTTTTCGCTATCCACATATGGAATAATTATATTGTCGGTATTCAAACACNCTAACTTGCTTTTCTTTTCCTGCATGTACACTTCCCTTAGGTCGAGCTGTAACATTTTTTCGCTATCCACATATGGAATAATTATATTGTCGGTATTCAAACACGTCGACTTAAATTCTGAAGCCGCATTTAACTTTCTTCTGCAGGCGTTACATATAACCTCTTTGCTCTCATCATCAAATTTCTGAAAAATATGCAACTTAAAACAGAAAGAAAATAACTGTGGCGGAAAATAACAATTAAATACTAAAAGTGAATTTACACTCGACTGTTAGGACGTAATTTAATTATAATTCACGTTTACCAATTTTAGCAAAAGACCATCTAGAATGTCTCTGATAATGTCGTTTATCACTTCAAAACTTTCATCGGTTATATTTTTAAGGCAAAGCCTACACGACATTTCCTTAACATCAGTCATTACTCTGCAACAATCTTCTTTTAAATATAAACAGAACGCAGAGACAAAAATGCAAAGCACAAAGCTGTCAGTCGTTACTACTAACCCTCTTATAATCTTAAATGACAATGACTGCATTGGCAGTTGGCACTGATGGCAGTGGTAGCGCATCTAGTTGTTTATGGGTTATGGTTAGCAATAGAGATGGGCAAAACATGACTATCCAGCTCGCCGTACTGACACGAGAGACCGGATTGACCCAGTTCCTCGTTTCTTCACAGAGTTACTCCACACGTCTGTCGTACCATAGCACAGGTTGTGTGAATACGCCTATCTATATTTTTTGTTAATGTGATCGATAGTGGAAATAAGGTCTGTTTATTTATATTTTCAATTATAATTAGGTCAACTTTATTATTTTTGACACTTTTCAATTTAATTGAAAATGATATTTCATATCAAATGCGTAAATTTTTTTTAATAAACGAAGGAAATCAATTTTAAAAATCTTGATACGACTGGGAACTGGCGGAAGAATGTAAATAATCAGACCTTATTTTCACTATTCGGTCACATGAATGAAGGCCTTCGATACGGTTTGGCATGAAGGCCTACTGATGAAAATGCTCACCAACCAATATCCCATATCCTTTACCAAACTCATAAAATCCTACCTACACCACCGTAAATTCCGCATCCAAATCCAAGATTCCCTTTCCACCACCCGTCCCATGGAGGCCGGTGTCCCCCAGGGCACCGTCCTGTCCCCACACCTATACACCATTTACAACTCCGACATCCCACATCCCCCCAACACCAACATATACTTATACGCCGACGACCTGACAATCACATCCCAATCCGTAGATCCTAGATATTCCGTCTCCCTCCTCCAAAACTCCTTAGACCAACTTGAAACCTGGTGCAACAGGTGGAAAGTCAAAATTAATCCCAACAAAAGTTCGGCTATCCTTTTTACCAAACGAAAAATCCCACAAAACCTCGACAGACTGACACTATCCCAGGAACCTATCTCCTGGAATCGACAAACACGATACCTGGGCGTGACGATGGACCAGCGTCTCACGTGGAAACCGCACATCGTGGAGACGGTGGCGCGAGCGAAGACCACCAGGGCTAGGCTCTATCCCTTACTCAAAGGTGGAAACACCCTCAGTTTAAGGAATAAGCGAACGCTTATCAAGGTGGTACTTCAACCGCAGCTAACCTACGCCTCCACGGCGTGGGGTCACGCGGCAAAAAGCCACTTAAAGTCATTACAGGCTGTGGAAAACATAGCCCTCCGCACGGCCACCGACGCGCCCTGGTACGTAAGAAACACTGACATATTACGAGACTTACAATACACAAACGCTACACAGACAATAAGACAAAACGCGGAGAAACGATTTGACGTAGCCGCTAGACATGACAATCCCCTCCTCAGGCAAGCCGTTGACTACGTACCCGACGTGACCGACAAACACAAAAGACCTAGACACCAACTTTTTGACCCTGGGTGACCACCCCAATGACCCCCCCCCTGCCCGCTAACCTTTTCTGTTTCAGAGACAGCCAGGATCAAGAAACGAAGACAACGACACACACACACACACACACACACACCCCCCATACCCTCCTTAACCCTCCCCTCCCGCGCTAGCCTAAGGGCCACCTTAGCAAAGCGCATCCCAGGCTGCATAGCCGCACTACCCTACCCAACCATACCACACATAAACATGACACTACCCCCGGGGTTTACACAGACGAGCCGGCGAAGCAAGAAGAGCGCCAGAAGAAAGGGCCCTAGCCGGCGGGGCCCAGCCAGGACAAAAGGAGGTCCCACAAAGCGCCTACACCGGCCGCATTTGCGGTCGGGGTAGACGACGGATGGGGCCCACCTACGAAGGCTGTCCAGGCCTACACGAGATGAGGCAGGATAAAGAGGGATAATCCCCCTCGATCCCAAATCATTGAGGCCAATTTCTAGCCATAGAATAATGGCGCGTGGCGCGTTTCAGTATATTTTCAGAAATGTTTGAGTAATATAATAATTTTATTACCATATTGTTGTCATAATGCTCTCAACTTTAGATAATTTTCACTTCAAAAGCGTTTTTGAAATAGTATAAATAGCGAGTAATTTTTTAGATATTTCTAATATTCTTTTGCGATATTTTTATTTGCATTGTCAATGGCTTAATTCGAATTCCAGACAACTTTTTCTGATTTCTCAAAAAATTTAACTAAAAAAAGTTGTTACATTGTATATTAAAAAAAAAATAAATATGCTCTTCTAGTTTGGGGATGCGGTAACTTTTACCAAGAATTTCTTTCTTTTTGAGAAGCCACTGAAAAAAGTTTCTAATATGGATTACGAATTTTGCCATTCATCGTACAAATAAAAATGTCACAAAACAATATCAGAAGCATTTTAAAAAAGCTACACATCATTGTATATTGTTCAAATACGCTTCTAAAATGGAAATTTTCTAATGTTGAGACCATCGTGAATATGGTAACAATGACGAACTGATAATTAGAAAAAGTTAGTTATGATTATGAAAAACAAATGACATTACTGAAAAATAATATAGTTACAATTTTCTTCTACGCATGGTCAATATTACATCTATCCTTTTAATAATAATAAATTATACAGCAGAAATAAAGATACAAAATGATATCTTGACAAAATAAATATCTGTAGGTATACCTCAAAGACCTCAGAATTACTAGACAAATAATTCCCTATGCATTGCAAAGGAATTGTTTTGATTTTCCACAACTTGAGACATCCTGCTATTAAACAAGGATGAAGATAGTTCTTTGTTTACTAGGGAACTCTTAACCAGTGGCGTGTGTGTTAAAAAGGATGATACATTTTAATATTTGTCTAATTTATATATACTTACCAATTGCACACCTAATTTGGTTTTAAAATAATGTTAATGACTTCTTTTTTAAATAAATAGAACCATGTTTGTTTTACTCCATAACGGCACTTACTGCCGAAAAAAAGTAATACTAGTTACAACAATCTTTATTTTCTCAGTAACAGTATACATCAATATGTTAAATAATACTAATTAATAAAAGTTTTTACCAGTTCAAATAGGAATCACAAAGTTACAGTTACAGTTGCATATAGTATGGTAGCTATACTATACTTGTATACAATAATATGCATATCAAGTAGGACAATTAAGTGATAAATGAAAGAGAAATAGTAAATGGGGTTATTACACATATTTTTAAGTTCTTTAATTCTCAAAACAGATTTATTGGATCTAATTTGTTATGGTGACAATTGCTACAAGGTGATCCCGAATTATGTGCAAAAAAATTGTTTATACAATTTTAATATGGGTCCTGTATTTTGACTAAACGAACTTGGGAACTCAGGAACTGCTGTGTCCTTAAGATAAACTCGGCTACCAGGTCTTATTAAGAAATCACTTGATGTGAAGTGATCTGAACATACAACACTATGTTTAGGACTATTTTCCTTTCCTATGCAGCTCAAAATGCGAGAGAGCCAAACGTCTCGGCGTTCAACATTCGAAGGAATCCTAAAATCAAATTACCTAGGTATATTTCCTTTTAAATAATGTCGCCTTTGCAATTCATGTTACTTTTTATTTAACCGTAACACACAATTCACTTTTTAAAAAAATATTTTATATTTTCAATATTATTGCACTGAAAATTTTCTATTTCAAATTTTGTTTTAAACTACCGTCTGTTATCTGTTACGCCCATGGTAAATCTACCTACCTGTGAAATGAGCGATTGCCTCCACTTTTAAAGCGAAATCTACATATAACACAATATTTTCCCATTGTCTATTCACAAAAACAATAAATTCTGCCAAAGAAACTAATAATCCACGGTAAACACAACGTTAAACTCAGTAAGCACGCAAAGAATTAATGGCGGCCGACAGTCGTAAACAATAATAAACATCTAGCATAGAGCAGGTACTGCGCGCGCACCTTACCACGTGTCTTTAGCCAATAGGAAGCTGAGTTCTCAAAATATTTACAGTAGAACAAAACAAACCAAGACAATGCACTGTCTATCCTTTCTGAGGTCGTTGGTATACCTAAACTATTTTATTTAAGCATGTCTATACCACATACTTCTATATGTATGTACATACTCGTACATATACAAAGCATTTTGAAAGGGAATTGAAGCCAAAAAGTGGGGGAGTTGCACTTTGTGTATTATACGCACGCGCTATGATTCATTTTCCCATTGGTCGGTTTGTCGGTTAACGTCATTGTCATTTCCGAAAATAGGTTATGAATTTGAATAGAAAGACAGCTGAAAATGATTTGGCAAACAAAAAAAAAGGAAAGGAAACGAGACAGACCCTAAAAAACATGGGACCAAGGACCAAGTAGTGGCAGAAGACTTAAAGAAAAGAGGAACAAACTGGCATGAAGCGATGATTCTAGCAAAAAATAAAAAGAGAAAATTTGTTTATAAGTAAAAATGTATAACTTTACACCTTATTAAAGGTAATGTATTGATGAAATTGGCTAAAGCTAATTTTTACGTGTCCAATCAGTAGCTAGAAATTCCACATTTTGCTAATGCATGAGACTTCGTGTTTCATGGTGAACTCTTACTGTTATATATTAAAAGAAGGCGAGTAGTTTCCCTTTATATATTTTTTGTAAATGTCACAAGAAATTATGTTTATAACCTGTGAAGTTACAAAGCCCGCTATATATGATACCACATCTTCTACATACGGCGAAAGGTCAAACATGGTTTTTACATAATCATGTTCAAATAAAAAAAACGACACCTAATGTACTTGTGTTTGGATCACAAACTGGATCAGCTATTTTATTTGAAAAAGAATACTTAGGGACAATTTATATCTAAAATCGTCACTGCTTCAATGTGTTCTAAGATCTTATAACTAGCTTTGCATTGTATATTTAATAAAATAAGACTTGTTGATATTTAGCATATGTTAGAAAATCAAATTGAATCTGGTAGGTACCTTGAATTACTACGAACATTTAGGTTAATATGATTGATTTTTATTATTATTTATATATATATAAGTATTAGTTAAGGTAAATAACTTGTTATCATTTTTATGTATATTTGTACATAATGTGTATTTTTATATGAACTTTTGTGTAGATGTATTGATTTTAAATTTCAAAAAATGTTTGCTATTTTATATAAATAAACCACTTTTACTCTCCTCGATTCAGTTTTATTGTACCCATTTTATTTTACATTCACTATCTAATATTCTCATAAATTACAATTAACAAGTTGTACAATTAGTTATACAAAATAATGATTGGTAATTTTGCTCTGTTAATAGTACATCAGTTATTAAATTTCGTTTGAAATAATCCGCTAAATTTTCGGGCTTGCGCAAAATTGACAAAGTGCAACATATACACTTTTTATCCCCTCTTTTTGGAAACAAGGTCATTAATGTAAAAGATATGCAGTTGCTTGGTATATGTATAGAAGTATGTGGTCTATACACATAAACAAATATAAACATTTGTACAAAATATAAAATAAATGACGTCTATTTCACTTGATTCATCCATATTTCAAATAGTTCTCACTGACTAAGTAGTTGCTCTTCAAATTATATCGGAACGTATAGTTCCATGTTCCATTTTCTTAGTTCTTGTACTTCTTGTCCCTTGTCCTCTTGTCGTCTTGTTTATAATTTTGGGTATAACTATGTTTAGGTAGATGTGACGCAAAATTCAACAGTTAATTAAGAAAATACAGAATTATACATATTTTTCAATTCTCTCTCACAGTAAAACCAATGATTATTTTGAGCTCCCAATTTTTATACATACCATTTGGAATCCCTCAACTATCAATCCCCATTTAAAAACTTTCGGTTTTATCCATTTTAGCAACAATTACAATTTTTCCAAAATTTCGAAAAAATAATTATAAACATTTAGAACTGGGGCTATTGTATTTGCATATTCTTCAAATATAATTATGGGTTCAAACAGAGGAAGGATTGACGTCATTGACGAACAAAATCCACTTTTGACCTTGCGGATACGATGAATCGTCGAGATATGAAAGCTCAAAGTTGAAGTGGCAAAACAACTGTACTGTACAATAACAATCAAAAGTGATTTTGATTGTTTGATGCAGTCTTTATAACTATAAAAATTTGTTTAAATCGGAAATGTATTTTAACTGTTCTGATCGAATTTGTAAAATTATCATTATGGAAATGTGTGACGAAGACTATCATTCTTGGTTCTATCTGAAAAACGAAAGTACAAAGTACAAAAATAATATTATAAATGCCAAACAAGTTTTATTTGAAAAAAATTAAAAACTTCCAACAAAAATCGTGAAATGGGGAAAATAGTTAATTACAAACTAAATCGCAAGGAACCCCATTTGAAATGTATCGATTTAGATATAGACAATGTTAAAATATGGGATACAGATGCTATAACTACATTATTTGCTACCATTTTTTCAATTATGGTCTCCGAGAGACTACAGTTGCATTTCCGATCTAAATTATCATTACCTTGTACTCTTTCACATTACAGGGAGCAGTCAATATTTACATCACTTGTAACAATCGAAGAAGTTATTACAAAAGAACAATAAAATACAGGGTGTTAAATACGGGTTAAAAAAATGAAGTTTGAACTTTCTAAAAATGATTGTATTATAGAAAACGACCTGTATATAACATCGATATTAGCTAATATATGAGCCTTTGTCTCCCAACCCACAAATGTGAGAATGAAGTGGACAGCTTTTGGTTATTGTTGCGTATGCGGATATTTAATGGACTGTATCTAGGGTTAGAGTAGATGGAAAATGGAGAAGCACACTTACATATGTCGCTACGGTCTTCTTTCTAGTGTTGGTTCTGGTGCATATATTTAACACTATTTGTCGGTCGGCACACTGGTTACTTAACAATTTTGAGTACCTTTCTTCGAACATACATGAAAACTAGGAAAACACTTTTGAGTCTTAAGGGAGTTCTTGACTTGATAATTTTCAACTGTAACTGTCCTTTTTCCACGTAGAGCAGCTGCGCATGTGTGCCATTCTGTGTAAATGGGAATTGAGGGAAAGGGAAAGGTAATTGCGTGCTGCATATATTTAAAACCGAGTTTGAGTTGAATAAAGACGGAACAGTTATAAACAATCATGCACATTTATTTTACATTAGACCCTTCAATTAATTACATGTTCTACACAGCTGACAATATCGCTGATTAAAACTAATGGACACATAACCAGGTATTTGCGAATTCTACAAGTGCTAGTCCAAAATCACTTGTCGGCCTCCGTTTCAGTCAGGTTTTCGGGTTTCAACCGATGTATTTCAAGGTAGGCGTTATGTTTTTTTCGTATTCACATATTCATGATAGGTGTCATATCCACACTTGTAGCTCTTAAATGCATTCATTTTTGCCAATATTTTGCACAACGAACACCTGCAAACCTTTTTTTGTCTTCTCAAAGACTCCTTCTGCTGGGTTGTTAGCAAAGTACACCGGCACATTTGCATTTATGACATAGACCTTATAAACTACTGGACTCGCCCAACACGGCAATCGCTCAGACGTGTGCGAGAGAGATGGAGCTAATAACGGCTTAAGGTTCGTTCACAGAATTTCGATTGCAGCGCGCCTACATTTAATTCAACCAATCAGCTAGCTATACTCGATTCCTTACCCTTTTTTTCTGTTGGGCCATATTCAAAAACTATAAAAATAATATAGACTAAAAGACAAAACATTTTCATTTCTTCCAGTAGTGTACGTATGTAAAAGGGTTTATTATATTACTGTCCTAATTACAGTACAATATTTGAATTGTTTTAGCTATAATATTCCAAATAGTTTTTATAATGCCTTATTTATGTATTTCTCCATTTATTTTCCTCATATCGTAAACTCGATCGGTTAAAATTACTGCAAGCTCTTCTGACGTAGTTGTTCCAAATATTTAATATTTTCTTGCTTTGCAGAACTATATAAATTGAAACTATGTCGATGCTTTCTTGGTTCAATATATTATTTGAAGAGATTTTTTGCTGGAGCACATTATAAGTACATTTCAGTTAAAACTTTTTCTTTATATTCGGTTTGATGTTAAAAAATAATATGAAGAGTAACACATTTAAAGCGGTAAAATTTTGACGTTAAAATGACATTTTGAGGATGGGAAGTAATATGATCTAATAAGTTATCATCAACTCTACTTGGTCATTATTTTCAGAAAGATGCGAAATGTATAAACATGTTGGTACCATCATAACTTCTTCCCTACCTATGAAATTTAATTTTTTCTCCACTTAAACGTCTCTTTACGCAATTTATCGCAGAACACGATTGCACCATAATTAGTTTTTACGAATCTTTCATATACACTAATAAAATCACACAAAAATTCAAGAAATCAATCAATAATGTCAATACATGACATTTACTTCAAAGTCTGTTTACGACATTTTGTAACGGTATACCCGTGTACCATCATTTGTTTTACCGGTATTTGCCTCAACTAGCTTCATCTGCCTTGCACACATCAGCGCGATTGACCTCTCTTTCTAGGGCCAGTCCATAGTTTACTAGGGCTATGATTTATGAAGACTCTTTATGCTTCAACATGTGACGTCCGATACCCCTCCTGTATTTAGTTTCGAAATCGCAGTCGTTACACCTGTACATTTTCACCTGCGAAGGATCTTTATGTTTCAGTTGATGACTTTTTATAGCATACTGGTATTTAGTTTCGTATGTGCATTCGTTACATCTGTACATTTTCACCTCTGAAGGATCTTTATGTATCAACTGATGCTTTTTCATACATGCTTTGTATTTAGTTTCGTAATCGCAGTCTTTACACCTGTACATTTGAACCTGCGAAGGATCTTTATGCTTCAGTTGGTGCCGCTTGATATTTCTCTTGTGTATAGTTTCATATGTGCAGCTGTTACACTTGTACATTTGAATCTGTGAAGGATCTTTATGTTTCAGTTCGTGTTGTTTGGCATCTTTGCTGTATTTAGTTTCGTAATCACAGTCTTTACACCTGTACATTTGAACCTGTGAAGGACCTTTATGCTTCAGTAGGTGTTCTTTTATATTCCTGCTGTATCTAGTTTCATAATTGCAGTCATTACACATGTACATATGAACCTGTGAAGGATCTTTATGCTTCAGTTGGTGCTGTTTGATATAACTCTTGAATTTAGTTTCGTAATCGCAGTCTTTACACCTGTACATTTTCACCTCTGAAGGATCTTTATGTATCAATTGATGCTTTTTCATACATGCTTTGTATTTAGTTTCGTAATCGCAGTCTTTACAACTGTACATTTGAACCTGCAAAGGATCTTTATGCTTCAGCTGGTGCCGCTCCATATTTCTCTTGTGTTTAGTTTCGTAATCACAATCATTACACTTGTACATTTCAACCTGTGAAGGATCTTTATGTTTCAGTTGGTGTCGTTTGGCATCTCTGCTGTATTTAGTTTCATAATCACAGTCATTACACCTGTACATACGAAGCAGTGAAGGATGTTTATGTTTCAGTTGGTGCCTTCTGACAGCATACTTGAATTTAGTTTCATAATCGCAGTCGTTACACCTGTACATTTGAACCTGTGAAGGACCTTTATGTGTCAGTCGGTGTTCTTTCATATTTCTGCTGTATCTAGTTTCATAATTGCAGTCAATACATCTGTACATTTGAACTTGTGAAGGATCTTTATGCTTCAGTTGGTGCTGTTTGATGTAACTCTTGTATTTAGTTTCGTAATCACAGTTTTTACACCTGTACATTTGAACCTGTGAAGGATCTTTATGCTTCAGTTGGTGCCGTTTGATATAACGCTTGTATTTGGTTTCATAATCGCAGTCTTTACACATGTATATTTGAACCTGAGATGGACCTTCATGATTCAACAGGTGCCTCTGAAGTAATTTCTCATTTTCAGCTTTATACTCACACGATTCACATTTATACAATTCCAAATCATTGTCGTGTCTCGCAGAGTGTGCTGTAAAGCAGATCTCACTTTCAGTTTCATAAATGCATTTATCACATTTGTACAATACTTTACACTCTTGCTTGGTTGTAATTTCTGCTCCATTCTCATGTTTACATCCCTCCTCTTCTTCATTTTTACATACACTGTGCTCGAATGTTACGATATCGGAACTCTGAAGTTGAGTGTCGCTAAAAAAAAATAGCAAATAGTGTTTTTTAAAAAGTAAGTTTCAATTAATAGGGGTTATAGCTGACACATGACAAAATATTGCGTTTCACAAAAAATGACATAAACGGGCATATTTACATTTGAAGTTAATGAGATGTGATTATTAAGTAATTACACATTTGTACCCACATACCAGAACAATCCTTTCAATTTTTGTTTCAAATTGCTATTATATTGCATTAGATCACGAAAAATTTATTTAATATTAATTATTACTACATATGTTTTCGACTGGAATAATTATACAGGGTGTCTCACATTTAAATAGCAAGACTTCAGGAATCAGTAGAAGACCTCATTTTGAGTCTAAAAGTTCCTATATATATGGGTCCTAAAACGCTTAGTTTCTGAGATACAGGGCGTTCAATTTTATTTTTGTTTTATTTATTTATTTTTTAACTAAATAACCGCTGACAAAAAAAATCATCATGTTGCGGCGAAAGACTTAGTATTTGAGGGCAAATAATTTGACACAGAAAATCATCGCATATTAGTTCCAGTGGTGGAGATAGAGGGGTCTCTATGCATATTTTTATAAAAAAAAGTATAGCCGATTTGATATTTTGCATATGTTTTCGAAAAATATGAAAGAACATTCAAATTTTACCCAGAAAAGGCCCTTTTGTCCAAAGTCGATAGGAGGCGTTTTCAAGAAAAACCGAATATACTGTTTAGAAGTCAAATTAAGAAAAACCAAAAATACTGTTTAGAAATCAAATCAGAATTAAAATGCCATTCTAATATTGACATTTCGCTTATTTTATTATAGTTTCTAATTGTGTGTAGAGTATTAAAAAAAATTGCAACAAATTCAAAATGCCGTTTAAGTTTACGAACCAAGAATACGCAGATATTCACTTCGTATACGGGTTTGCCAATGGGAACTCGGCAGAAGCTGCTAGGGAATATCGGAGACGATTTCCTAATAGAAGACAGCCGCATCCACACGTTTTTATTAATATTCATCAACGTTTCGCTAATGACGGATTGAATCTGGTCCATAGGGATCGCAACATAATTAACGTTAATATTGGCAGAAATAGGAGGAATCAGCGAATCTTGCACGAATTTGACAGAGATCCCACGACGAGTACCAGAAAAATTTCCAGGATTATTGGTGTTTCCAGGTGCACTATTTCTAGAACATTAAGACGAGATCATAGACANTATTCATTCCATTATCTCAATAATTACATTGTAAGTGCATATTTTTATTGTTTTAAAATGTTTAGTAATATTTAATTCTTTAATTACAATTTTATTTTCCCGATCCTAACCATTTTTAAGAGCAATATTCACGTTTGATTAAAATTTTCTCCCAACTCGCATAAGAGCCTGTGTATAAGAGCATAATTTTTAATATCATTTTTCAAAAAAACTATATTGGCAATCGATCTGATATTTATATACAAGGCAGTTGGCATATTTATTAACAGATTTCCATGATTTTGAAACCTTTCTTACCATTTTTTTTCGGTATCGAACCTCCTTAAAAGACATTAGGATTATATCAATTATGTAAGTGATATTTTCCATTTTATCCTGAAATGTCCTGTCGGTGTGTATAATTAAAATATCATCGCAAGATCGCAGAAATTTTAAATTTTGCCCGAGGTCCAATGTACAAGCAGCATCGAAGTTACTATCAGAAAATATATATGGATTTATACAGTCCTCCAAAAATTTTTTCTAAGAAATCTTATCAAATGAAATAAAATTTGGAAATAAGAAGAGCTCTTTGTAATAGCTGTTTTTTTAGTGTTCATCTTTGTCAAAAGTAATGAACAAAAAAAATTACAAAGTACTTTGAATGATTTCATTATTTAACATTTATCTGGCATGTCTTTCCGTATTAATTATATTTAGTAAAATCATTCCTAGTATTTCTTTTGGATAACTATTTATTACTACAGTTTACAACGTACAACAATACAATAAAAGACAAATGTTCAATTAGTGATCAACTGAAATAACTGATCATAGAAAAAGACAAGCAATCACCTTCATGTATTATGCAATTGATATTAATTCCGACAGAGGTTATCAATTGCCCCTGATGAATGAGAAAGACCTCTCGTTTTATTCACATTTCGATTATCTATAAATTGTCTCCTTATAGCATTTAGATTGTTTCGTTATTTTATGTTTTATAAGCAAAAAACTTTTAAAAAATACATTTTTTGCATTAAAATTAATTAATGGTAAATTGGAGTAAGAAACATACAAGTTATATCTACAGATTGTCTTTTATATGATGGCACAGTCCGTTTGCTACTAGTATTTTTGTCACAGACAAAACCTCTATTGTTTGGCTTAATTTTCTGTGAGTTCTGTGGTTATTTCAGTAAATCGAGCTCAAGTTTGTTTGCATTTGGTGGATTTCAAACTGTCATTATGATGCAAAAAATCACAAAACATGTTTTCGTTTACAAATGTGAATCCTCACTATATCTTAAATGAACAGTAACTCATGAACATGACCACTGATTAGTACACTTAGTACAGATTAGAACAGTAACTTGTTAACCTAACTTTTAATGATTGTATAAAAATTTATACAATATACCGTTTATAACCAACAAAATCGATCGCATAATTTGTTACAATTAGTTTACCACCAGATGGTACGGTACGTATTTCACGACGGTGTCAAGAACACAGGCTGACATTTTTAAATTAATGTTAAATCAGTCTTCTCTTACCTCCTTTCCTCATCTTCCAATTTTATGTCGATACCTTCAATTTTGATTGGCATTTCCATCTCGTTAATATCAAATTCTTCTTCCAAGTTTTCAGTCTTAACCAATAAATCAAGTGAAGACGTATCTACTTGATTTTCTGTGGCTGAAGAATCAAAAATACTATTAATTTTTTCCTCTACCTCTAAGCAATCTTTTAGGAAACTGTTGTGAGTACACAGAGAATCAAAGCATGGCTTACATACAACGGGATCTTTGATGATATTCATGTTCTATAAAGCAATTGTGTTAAACTACAAAATATAAAATTATTTAATATCCTTGATACCATTTCAGGAGCCAATTTCTCAATAGCTTCAAGTTCCACTTCACGTATGCACCTAAACTCACTTTCTACTGGCTCCATACACAATCGACATACTTTCCGACTGCAAGAAATTTCAACTAACTCGTTTTTCTTTTCATGCATGTACACTTCTCTTAAGTCAAGCTGTAACATTTTCTCGCTATCCACATAAGGAATAATTGCCTTATCAGTATTCAGACATGTTGACTTAAATTCTGAAGCGGCAACTAACTTTCTTCTGCAAACGTTACATATAACCTCTTTGCTCTCGTTATCAAATTTCTGAAAAAAATGCAACTTTAACCAGAAAGAAAATAACCGTGCCGTAAAATAGCAATTATACACTAAAAGTTGCTTTACACTTGAGACTGTTAAGATCTAAGCGAATTATATTTCACAGACTTACCAATTTCAACAAAAGAATATCTAGAATGACTCTTATAACGTTGTCTACCACTTCAAAACTTTTATCAGTTATAGATGTAAGGCAAAGCCTACACGAAATTTCCTCAACATCACCCATTGCTCTACAAAAATCTTTTGATTATAAAAAGAACACAGATGCAAAATATAAACCTGCCACTTCTAACCTTCTTTTAGTTCTTTTCTTGAGTGCTTGTGGCGCGTAGTCAGGGTTGCCAATCGGTCTTTACCGGTTACTAACAAAACTGTTCCGGATTAATCACAATTCCTCACATCTTTAAAATATCAATATCAAGAAAAGTTTTTTATAAATGGTAACTGACGGCCATCTGATGTGTCCATGGAGACTACAATTGTGTCAATGTTGCCAAACATCAAAAGCTGGGGCGCGTTCACAATCGTTGTCAAGCAATCACGCTCTCCGAACGTATACTATTGGATTGGTTGAAAATGAGTGCTCCAACCAATCGCGGCGTGCTAGAGTGAGACAGCAAATACCGAGATATTGTCTGTCTCTCTCGCACACTCAGCTACACTTTTCTCAATGACAAGTTTCCTCCAGTTGTATATGCTTGAAGATCACGCTCATCAAATTACAATCGGGAAGCGGGTAGGTAAGATTGTGAACACCACGGATCAAGAAAATACATAGATAAATAATTCAGGGTATTTGTTTGAATCTCAAATGATTCATGTTTATATTTACTATTCCCCGTGTTGTGATTGGTTCATTTAAGTTTCGCGCCACTTTTACGCTCAAATTTTGACATTTTCCAGAAAATTCGAGTTCGCCATTGTTGTATTTCGTAGTGTAATCTAATGTTTTTGCGTTTTTAATGNAGGACCCATATATATAGGAACTTTTAGACTCAAAATGAGGTCTTCTACTGATTCCTGAAGTCCTGCTATTTAAATGTGAGACACCCGTATAGTCTATAGCCGAGCTAATCAAATATAGCGGGTCAGTCGAAGCGTTAAATACAGTGTACAGTGTTGCCATATTTCCTTTCATTGGATCAGATATTTGTTCAAATTTGTCAAAACGTTATATATTCATTCCATTATCTCAATAATTACATTGTAAGTGCATATTTTTATTGTTAATATTCAATTCTTTAACTACAATTTTATTTTCCTGATCGTAACCATTTTTAAGAGCAATAGTCACGTTTGATTAAAATTTTCTTCCAACTTGCATAACAGCCTGTGTATAAGAGCATAATTTTATTAAAAATTATTTCAAAAAAACTATATTGGCAAATGATCTGATATTTATATACAAGGCAGTTGGCATATTTATTAACAGATTTCCATGATTTTGAAACCTTTCTTACCATTTTCTTTCAGTATCGAACCTCCTTAAAAGACGTTACTATTATATCAATTATGTAAGTGATATTTCCATTTTATCCTGAAATGTCTTGTCAGTGTGTATAATTAAAATATTTGTTCTCTAATATTGTTTGTTGTTTGTATAATATGGTCCTGTATTTTTATGCAGTTGGTATTATTTATTATTTATCATTATCATTATTATGATCATCTGCCTGTAAAATATTTTCTAAATTATTTATTTTTCCTAGTGACAATTTAGATTTTTTTTCTCGTCACATGATCGCAGAAATTTTAAATTTTGCCCGGGATCCGATATACGAGGAGCAGTCGAAGTTACTATCGGAAAATATATATGGATTTTCTGTATCCGCTGAGATACCAAGGAATACAGCCCTCAAAAAATGTTTTCTAAGAAAACTTAGCAAATGAAATAAAAGGTGGAAATAAAAATATCTCTGTAGTAGCTGTTTTTTTTTAGTGTTCAAATTTGTCAAAAGTGATGAAACAACAAAAGATACAAAGTACTTTGAATGATTTCATTATTTAACTGGCATGTCTTTACATATTAATTATATTTAGTAAAATCATTTCTAGTTTTTCTTTTGGATAACTATTACTACAGTTTACAACAAACATCAACATAATTAAAGACAAATATTCAATTATTGATCAATTTGAATTAACTGATGATAGGAAAAGACAAGCAATCGCCTTCATGTATTGTGCAATTGATATTAATTCCAACAGAGGTTATTAATTGCCCCCGAGGAATGAGAAAGACCTCTCGTTTCATTCGTATTTCGATTCATTACAAATTGTCTCTTTATAGCATCCAGATTGGTTCGTTAGTTTATGTTTTGTAAGCAAAAAACTTTAAAAAAATACATTTTTTGCATAAAAATTAATTAATGGTAAATTAAAGTCGGAAACATACAAGCGTATATCTACAGACTATCTTTTATATTACGGCGCAGTCCATTTACTACTAGTATTTTTGTCACAAACAAAACCTCTATTTTCTATGAGTTCTGTGGTTATTTGGTTATTTCAGTAAATCGAGCTTAAATTTGTTTGGTTTTGGTGGATTTTAAACTGTCGTTATGATGCAAAAAATCACAAAACATGTTTTCGTTTACAAATGTGAATCCTCACTATATCTTAAATGAACAGTAACTTATGAACACGACCACTGATTAGTACACTTAGTACAGTTAGTACAGATTAGAACAGTAACTTGTTAACCTAACTTTTAATGATTGTATAAAAATTTATACAATATACCGTTTATAACCAACAAAATCGATCGCATAATTTGTTACAATTAGTTTACCACCAGATGGTACGGTGCGTATTTCACGACGGTGTCAAGTACACTGGCTGTCATTTTTAAATTAATGTTAAATCAGTCTTCTCTTACCTCCTTTCCTCATCTTCCAATTTTATGTCGATACCTTCAATTTTGATTGGCATTTCCATCTCGTTAATATCAAATTCTTCTTCCAAGTTTTCAGTCTTAACCAATAAATCAAGTGAAGACGTATCTACTTGATTTTCTGTGGCTGAAGAATCAAAAATACTATTAATTTTTTCCTCTACCTCTAAGCAATCTTTTAGGAAACTGTTGTGAGTACACAGAGAATCAAAGCATGGCTTACATACAACGGGATCTTTGATGATATTCATGTTCTATAAAGCAATTGTGTTAAACTACAAAATATAAAATTATTTAATATCCTTGATACCATTTCAGGAGCCAATTTCTCAATAGCTTCAAGTTCCACTTCACGTATGCACCTAAACTCACTTTCTACTGGGTGCATACACAATCGACATACTTTCTGACTGCAAGAAATTTCAACTAATTCGTTTTTCTTTTCATGCATGTACACTTCTCTTAAGTCAAGCTGTAACATTTTCTTGCTATCCACATAAGGAATAATTGCCTTATCGGTATTCAGACATGTTGACTTAAATTCTGAAGCGGCATTTAACTTTTTTCTGCAAACGTTACATATAACCTCTTTGCTCTCGTTATCAAATTTCTGAAAAATATGCAACTTTAACCAGAAAGAAAATAACCGTGCCGTAAAATAGCAATTATACACTAAAAGTTGCTTTACACTTGAGACTGTTAAGATCTAAGCGAATTATATTTCACCGACTTACCAATTTCAGCAAAAGAATATCTAGAATGACTCTTATAACGTTGTCTACCACTTCAAAACTTTTATCGGTTATAGATTTAAGGCAAAGCCTACACGAAGTTTCCTCAACATCACCCATTGCTCTACAAAAATCTTTTGATTATAAAAAAGAACACAGATGCAAAATATAAACCTGCCACTTCTAACCTTCTTTTAGTTCTTTTCTTGAGTGCTTGTGGCGCGTAGTCAGGGTTGCCAACCGGTCCTTACCGGTTACTTACAAAACTGTTCCGGATTAATCACAATTCCTCACATCTTTAAAATATCAATATCAAGAAAAGTTTTTTATAAATGGTAACTGACGGCCATCTGATGTGTCCATGGAGACTACAATTGTGTCAATGTTGCCAAACATCAAAAGCTGGGGCGCGTTCACAATCGTTGTCAAGCAATCACGCTCTCCGAACGTATACTATTGGATTGGTTGAAAATGAGTGCTCCAACCAATCGCGGCGTGCTAGAGTGAGACAGCAAATACCGAGATATTTTCTGTCTCTCTCGCACACTCAGCCACACTTTTCTCAATGACAAGCTTCCTCCAGTTGTATATGCTTGAAGATCACGCTCATCAAATTACAATCGGGAAGCGGGTAGGTAAGATTGTGAACACGATCTAGTACAGATACAAAATACAGTTCGTGTTTGCACTTTCTTTACAGCATTATTTTCAGTATTCACTAAGATTTTTTTGATACATCCTTTAGATACAAAACTGTAAGGATTAAGGATCGGTGTAACCAGACTAATAAAAAACAAAAACTCGGATACAAAAGGGATTAATATTTATTTAATAACAAGCAACAACACAATAACTTATTAAGTAATTCACTAAAAACTATCCTAATAAAAAAATATCTCATCCAAAAATATTCTTGTCTACCAAAAATTGTGTACATGTTAAAAATAATGTAACAAAAAACAAAATAATGCGAGAACAAAATATTTATTGGAGGTTTTAAGAAAAAAATATTTGGAATTAACATCGATTCTTAACGCTTTATATTCCAAATTTAGGCAATGGCATTGCTACAACACGTAAAGTTAGGCTTAAACTAAGATTTTTAAGAACAAAATATATCTATGCTGACCTCCCGATTACTCACAATGACACTTTACACACAAAATTACAGAGTAGCAAAATACTCACAAATGTGAGGAATTACTCACAAATTGCCTACCCTGGGCCAAAATTTAAAGATGGGTTGTAATTTAAATAGAGACCCATATTGGGTTGATAGCGAACAAAAATTAAACGGCAGAATGTCCCGAAGTTTACCTTAAATTGTAAAAGGAGTGTCAAAGTAAAATAATGAATTGCAAAATATATCAAAATGTTTACAATAGTACATTTAGTACTAAAAAACGAATGTTGATTTTTTTTTTAAATTGCCAGACAAGATATTTGGATTAATAGGAATGAAATCTTGAGACAATGAGAACCCAACAGTCGATTTTAAAAATTTTCCATTCTCTATACCAGTGTTTCTCAAACTTTTTCGAATCTGGAACCCTTTTTCGTTTGGAAGGTAAGCATGGAACCCTACAATCTTGATGCAAGTTAAAGCACTGCAGCTGTGGAATGCGAACCTTTCTTTGTACATCAACTGAGGTCGCCTCATTGACTCCCTAGGCTTGGTTGTTAGCAAAGAACAATTGCATTTATGACGACTCTTTATGCTTCAACATGTGATATTTTATGCCACCCCTGTATTTGGATTTATAATCGCAGTTGCTACACCTGTACATCTGAACCTGTGAAGGATCTTTATGTTTCAGTTGGTGCTGTTTGATATAACACTTGTATTTGGTTTCGTATGTGCAGCTGTTACACTTGTACATTGGAATCTGTGAAGGATCTTTATGTTTCAACTGATGCTTTTTGATATTCCTCTTATATATAGTTTCGTGATTGCAGTCGTCACACCTATATATTTAAACCTGTGAATGATCTTTATGTTTCAGTTGGTGCAGTTTGATAGCAAACTTGTATTTAGTTTTATTATCCCGGTCGTCACAAATGTACATTGGAACCTGCGAAGGATCTTTATGCCCACCAGGTGCCTCTGAAGTAATTTCTTATTTTCAGTTTCATACTCGCACGATTCACATTTATACACTTCCAAATCGTTCTCGTGTCTCGCACAGTGTGCCGTAAAACGGATCTCACTTCAAGTTTCGTAAATGCATTCATCACATTTGTACAATCCTTTGTCGTCTTGCTTGACTTTCATTTCTGATTCATTCTCATGTTTACATCCATCCTCTTCATCTTTGCAGTCATTCTCCTCGAATGGTACAATATGGGAGCTCTGCAGTAGCATATCGCTAAAAAATCAATCAATTATAAGTTTATGAACTCCACAAGGCATTAATTCATTTTTATTACAGTGAAATAATTTTCCTGCTGCTCAAATAGTGCAATAAAAAAGTGTAAAGTTGTAACAAGACCAGGAATTTCGTTTTTGGACATTTTATTGATAAGAAATTTAGATCAACCAGTTGTGACTTTTGGTAATGCAAGTCTGTAGCTGGCAATCATTGTACTTAAACCTATTAGTTCTGGTAGGCTTTTGTACTGTCATTCCGTTCACCCTTTACATCAGAAGATACAAATTATGAAAGTCACAAACAACAAAATTCAAATATCAAGTAATACCAGAACAAGAATACTAGTTAATTTATGCAAAAGCTAAAATGTAACGATTATCCTGTTTCCCTTTTTCTTCTTTTCCTTCTTTCTCTCAGAGTTTAATTATCAAAAAAGGCATTTGCAGGATGTTAAGTTTAAAGTCGCACAATAAATCCATAAACAAAAAGCCAGATACAGATAATTAGTACAATCTACAATGACATTATTAATAAATTCATTAAATTTTAATCAAATAATAACACCCAGTACATCAGCTTCTTTCGTTAGTTAACATGTTTTACCTTTCGAATTTTTACTGGTACCTTTTGGTTCGCATTACGTCACATTCCACAGAATTAAGTTGCATTGTATTGTATTACATTGCGTAATACTGCATTAACCTTCATTATGCTGCTTTACTATGCTTTACTATTGCTTTATTATGCTTACTTTAACTTACGTTATGTTGAGTTACGTATGCATTACGCTCAATTTATTGATTTTCTTAACACATACCTGACGTATTGAAAATTTTAAATAATGCAATCATTCAAATAAGCAGTACTCGTACTGTCCTATTATTACTCTTGACAAAGATTAATCACATAAGAAAACTCATTTTACTTGGCACTGTTCCATCAGGTCCCTTCTCGTATGGAAATAATAAATATTAACAGACAAAAATTATGTACAAACACCAAACTTTTATAAAAAAACTACATTTTGAAATGACTGCCAGAAGCTTTGAACATGGGATTTATTATAATTGTTTATTAATCCAAAAAAATATGTGCCCTTTTTATTATATATTTTTTTTAATTAATTCTCGCATTTTGGACTCTATTTTAAAGCTAATTCAAACAAATTTTTTTATTTTTAATCTGGTCAAATCAAGTCAAACGATGTTTTCCTTTCGCATTCCTGGATTTCTAGTATCTCGAAGGACATTACTTGATTCATTTACTAAGAAAAAAAAAATTTCATAGTGGTGGTCATGGTTACCGGCGCACAGCAATGAAAGACGGAGTGGGAGTAGCATGTATTTACCATGTAGTTTGAGCTCTGTTTAGTCCGACTGTAACCAAATGGTAGTTATTCACGGCTTTTTTTCATAATAAACGTAATTTATTTAGGTGTGGTGTAAAATTTTGTTATTTACGTATGGCTTCTTGTGTATTTTTGTAAAAATTTAAATAGGTTGTAAAGGCAGATTAACAGTAATGCTATCTATTGATAAATCAATGGTGCAAGAAATATCAACCTTTAATGGAAAAGTAATTGAAAAGTTTATTGCGGACAAATACAGAAGAACGGACTTTCACTATAAAAAATATTACTGAACACATTTTCCCCAATATTTCAATAGTACTTAAAATAAAACTGCCCAATTATATTTAAAAAATTTTTTTCGATAATTTCTACATATTTTTCCCCCCTCCCTCGTATGGAAATCTAGAGCCGCCACTGTGTTGGCCATTTGGATTTCGTGCTTTTTTTCATATCAAATCTTCTGTGCTTTTAATGATCCCTAGATTGTATTTATACAAAAATATTCCAATATATTTTTATTGTCACACGATTAGTTTTAGAATCGTTTTCGATTTATGCCGATTGTGTAATAAACTTATTTTGAGATAAAAAAACAATAATCTGGAATTAATTCGTTTTTCAAAATTGAAGGGATACCTCTTCAATAAAAATCAACTGAGAATTAAGTGAACTAATGAAATTTACAAAATATTCATCGTCATCAAAACAGTGACCTTCTTATCGGTATCCCCACTATTTCCGCCATTGGTTATGCAACGGTTTTGATATTACGGTATTTTGTAGAAACTTGACCCAATGTAAGGTACACCAAATTTAATTCAAATATCTCTACTATTTCCAAAATGGTTGAGATTTCGAAATAAATATGTGACAAAGTATTACCAGTATTCAGGTTCTGTCTGCTGCCAAAGTTCGAGAAATTAAAATTGAGACAATAGTGAAGTCAACAGTTCTCACCAGCTTTGCATCATAAAAATCGTGTATTGTCATATTGTGAGAAACAGGAAAAGTATTTCAATTGCTAGTCCAAATTCACTTGTCGGCCTCCGTTTTGTCAAGATTTCATGTTTCAGCAGATGAATTTCAAGAGAGGCGTTACATTCATATGCCTCCATTTCTACAATATTTTGCACGAAGAACGAAGGGTAATAATTCACACCTGCAAACCTTTATTTGTGCATCAATTGAGGTCTCCTCAAAGATTCCTAATGCTCGGTTGAAGACTCTTTATGCATCAACATGTGACATCCAATACCGCTCTTGTAATTGGTTTCATAATCGCAGTAGTTACACTTGTATGTTTGAACTGGCGAAGGATCCCTATGCTTCAATTGATGCTGTTTAATACCATTCTTGTATTTAGTTTCGTAGTTGCACTTGCTACACTTATACATTTGCACTTGCGAAGGATCTTTATGCTTCAGTTGGTGCCGTATGATATAACTCCTGAATTTAGTTTCGTAATCGCAATCTTTACACCTGTACATTTGAACCTGCGAAG